AAACCAGTCCCGCAACACAACAACAACAACAATAATAACAACAACAACAACAACAACAACAACAACAATAATAATAATAATATCAACAATAATAATAATAATATCAACAATAATAATGAATGTGGCATCAGCAGCCGCTCTGGAAATGCAAATCTTTTGATCTCTAATGGACAGGAAACATTGCCTGGCGAATGGCCGTGGTTAGTGGCACTTTTCGTCGTTACAAATCAATATGAGTTTCAATGCGCTGGAACCATTCTGACAAATAAACATGTCCTAACAGGTAAGTTAATAAAAGAAAAAAGATTTGTATTACTAAGACTTTTCATATGTTCAATAACGTAAATTTTTTATATTATCTTTGCTGTCTTTCTTGGATCGTAAAATATTTATTTGTACTTATTCATATTCTCTATAGTAAAATTTAATTTTATAAATTTTCACAGATATTCACAGTTAATCCAAATACAACCGAGAAAAAAAACACATAAAAATATTTAAAATGCTTAATTGTTCATCAGATATTTTGATGTTGTAGAGAGTTTTTGCAGTACCGTGTATTTTGATTTTCCACTAAATAATGTAACTTTGTTCATCGTATGGACACATGATATTGCAAAAATTCCCTATTATTTTTGCATTTTATATTATTAATAAGAAGTGGAAGCAAATGCCTGGAGAATTTCTCTGCATATATGTATGTGTGTGTACATACACAGGATAAAGACCGTACAGTATTTACATATTTAAGGATAGATTTCCGAAAAGTAAATTAGATTATTTTGAAACGAAAATGCTTAGTATCAGAAATCGAGGCTATAAAAGTCTTTGAATTATAAGCATTTAAAGTTTGCGAATTATATCATCTAAAATTCACACGAACATACGGTAGATAAGTGTCGATACAAAATGTCAACCACATCTAAACGTGCCAACTTTAGGCGATATGATTCGCTAACTTTAAATGCTTATAATTAAAAAATAATTATAGTCTCGACATTTTAGTATTAGTATTTTCGTCTCAGAATGATCTTGGGAATTTATCCTTACGTATTGTTACGATCTTTATCGAATACCTTGTAAGTGCGCGCGCGCGCGCACGCGCGAGAGAGAGAGAGAGAGAGAGAGAGTGTGTGTGTGTGTGTGTGTATTCTTTAGTTTATATCTCTTGACAGAGAGTGCGGATTATTAAAAAAAATGTGATATTCGTGCATATATTTTCTTTTTAGCGGCGCATTGCTTGAAGACGAACCTTGAAAGCAACGAAACTATACTTCCTAATGTGTTGGCTGTGGCATTGGGGCGATTTAATTTATTCGGATTCCGCGAGGTGGGAACCGTGAATCGGGAAGTCGCAAGTTACACGATTCATCCCGATTATGCGCATGACACCACCGGCGACTCCGATCTGGCGATTTTAAACCTCAGAAGACCTGTGGAATATAATCATTTCATCAAACCTATTTGTCTGTGGCCCCGTTCATCTGATCTTCACGACATCATCAGTAGAAGGGGATACGTCGTGGGATGGGGCAAAGACGAATTCGGTCATCGTTACACCGATCGTCCACGGATGGCGATAATGCCGATAGTCAGTCTAGTAAGAACCTTTAAGAGTCTTTTTAAACGAGAATTTTTCGTAAATTTTGCTGTTTAATTCGCATACAAATTGGATCGAGATTCTCTAAACGAAACGTCTGAAAAGTGAAAAAATAGGCAGATGACAATAAAATCGAGATATTTAGATCTATTATGAAAAAATATGTTTATTTTTGCATTATTAACAATGACACGCGAAACTGTATTTAATTTTGCTACATTTACACAGTTATATACATTTACATAGCTTACATAGAATTACTATTATAGCATTGTAATATATGTAGCACATATCTATAAGTAACTAATCGATGAACTTATTAGAGTCATTGCATGCTTAGAGTAACGAATGTGATGATTGTTTATAAACGATAATGCTATCATCGATCATGCGGTTAAGATATAACTTCAAATTTTTGTAAACATTCTTAAAGTAATATATCTCGACACAATTCTGAGACACTAACCATATAAGAAAAACATTGAATCGGACTTCGCGCCTTTTAAAACCAAACTTTGCAAATGATGAAGATTCATCATTGTTGCATGAATTATAGGAGACCTGTCACTGGAGTTACCCGGCTTTCGTCAAACTCACCTCGAATCGTACCTTCTGCGCCGGTATGCAAGATAGGAGCGGTCCTTGCAACGGTGACAGCGGGAGCGCGCTTGTACTTTTCGATAATACCACAGACCGTTATCTGTTGCGTGGTGTTGTTTCACGGACAGTGTTTAGCCATGAACCAGTATGTGATCTCACGAAGTACACCGTCTTTGTCGACGTGGCTAAATATCTAGCTTGGATTCAACAGCAGATATCCACAACGTAACGATAGTTTCATGTTTCAAAATGCAAAATATGCTAGACACATATGCTAGACAATACTTTACACAAAATTTATTTGAAGCTACAACACTTAAGGGAGCATTGACAAATGCATACTACTTAAACTATGTTTTTATTATATTTTCTATTACTGATTTGTACGCAAATAAACATTGAAAATTGTAGTTTGATATTTCAGATCTATTTATTACATGTTTCATTTTTACCAGTAACAATAATTAAATAATATATCATAGAATGGTTTAAATAATATAAAAACAAAATTATGAAGAAAAAAGGGGGGAGCCATAAGAAAATTTTCTTATGACTTGTAACTCTTCTCTACATAATTTTATTTTTAACAATAATTAATATTTTTTATAAATTTTTCTGTAAAATACTGCAAAAAGTACAGTTTAAACAACTGGTTATTTGTAAGTTTTCTAAACCATTCTCCTTCGAAAGTACTAAATATTCCAATAAAAATAACTATAAAAATATAGGATTAATAAAAAATCATTTTAACCAATATTTAACAATTAACTATTACCTAGTTTTATAAAAAGAATCAGTATTCAATAATTAATCAATATTACCAAAGACAAGAAAATCAAAATAAAACTGGTTTAAATTTATTTTCATAATTTGAAATTTTTATCTATATCAATATATATTAATTTTATTATTGTCAATATTATCAGTCTTATCTTATGGAATGATTTAGAAAACCTGACATATTTATAAAAATTATTAATTTAATAATAATTGCAAATATATATATGTATACATTGAATATAATATTTTACGTAAAATATTCTAGAACAGATCGATTTTCTTTTATGAAAATATAAATATTCAGAATAAAATTCTATGATTACATTATTATCATTGTTATTAGCTACATAAATTAATCAAAAATTATTATTAAATGTACCTGATTTTTCAAATTGTTGTTAACACACATGAAAGAGATGTAACCTATTAAATTTTTATTTATATTATTCATTCCCCATTTATTATAATGAAAAGATACACATATATGTGACATAAAGATTAAAGTCATACTATTTCTACTTTTTATGATGATCTGTTTATCGTCATTTCACGATAACAAAGTATATAAAATGATATACAAATGTGATTATTTATTATTGTGGATTTGTTAATAATTAATAAATCATAATGTTACAATATATCAATGTGCTTATTTAATGCTCTATCATAATTCATATATTGTATTACTTATCTTATTAAATACTTTATCAGTATTTTATATTATAAAGCATTATAAAAAATACAAAATATATCATCGATAATTTTACTCGACTAGAAATATAATAAATATAAATTTATTAAATATAATTCTAATTGTATATAATACGGGATGTTTCGTTTTCGTTTACAGTTACATAATAAATTGCTATTACGAAAATAATGTAATAATAATATAATATTTCCTGTATATTTATAAAAAATGGATTTGCCAATATCGTTGCATTCCAATTAATAAGCGCAATCGTCAATCATGTATTAAAAACAAATTTTTACGAATGTTCTTAAAATAATACAATTCCATACAATTCTGAGATAATAACGACATCGAAAAAACGTCGAATTGGTGTTAAATCATTTTAAAATCAAATATTGCAAATAGTGAAAATATTGTGTTGTTCCGTAAATTGTAGGTAACCTGTCTCAAGAGCCACTCAATTTTCGTTACTCTCACCTCGGAGCGCACTTTTTGCGCTGGTTTGCGATATCAAAGTCCTTGCAATGGTGACAGCGGGAACGGATTGGTGCTTTACGACTCTTTTACAGGCCGTTATCGTTTGCGTGGCGTCGTTTCGCGGTCAGTAACTGGCAATGATTTTTTGTGTGATCTCCAGAGGTACATTGTCTACGTCGACGTGTGGCCAAATATATACCTTGGATTCAAGAGTAGATCTCTACTACGTAACTCTGATCTCTTACCTTGTACAAAATAGAAGACAAGTTTTTAAGGTTTATTCGAAGTTACGGTATTTACATTCGACGACGTAAAGATTGAAGAGAGTTACAAATTTGACTTTTTACGGTAGGAGAGATTGAAGTTGTGCGGACAGCTAAGAGATAAATTAAATAAAGCTGACGATTATTTATCAGTTATAGAAGTCTTTATTCAAAGGATACTCCAGTTATTTAGCTTTAAACTAAAATAACATTATACGATCTCAAAAAGTACATTGTCGATGTGTCTAAATCTGAATTAAGCAGATCTTTGTTACGTAACGCTGGTCTTTCGCTGCACAACATAATATTGTGCTTGTGACAACACAAGTTTTTATATATATATATATCCATCCAAATCACGTTACTTACATATATATATGAGGATTAATATTACGATATTTACTTTTCATTTTTTATGGCAATCCTTTTATTGTAATGAATTTATTATAACATTAATATTAAAATTTATTTAGCTTTTATGCTCCTTTTTATATATTACATAGTTAAAATTTATTCAAATATATATGAATAAAAGTATAATTATCCATTTTTTATAAACAACTAAATAATAGCTCATATTATGACACGTATTATAATACATTTATAATATGTTATACATATATATATTATAATGCCTGCATTGATATGTTTATGAAATATTTTGATATAATTATTTTATATTATGTCAACGAATCTAACGCTTTATTAATGTTTTACATTATAAAGCATACTATAAAAAGTATACTTTTATATTGCCGATAATTCTACTCGTGACTATTGTAGATACATTAAATATATATTATAATTTTAGTGATTTAAGTTTTATCAGTTAGCATGTATATAAAAATGTTTGAACTTACAAAATTAAACTATAATCTATAAGTAAGCATACATACACTTTTTACATCATTATTATTTTGTAAATCTGAAGTGTTCAGAAGTACACACGTTAGTAAAAAATTAATTTTTTTTTAAATACATGCTTTTCATTATACCTTTTAAATATATTATACATAATAATTTATAATAAGAGCAAGAATGACTAAAAAAAAGAAAAGAAATCTAAAAATCGCAGTCCACGGAAATTAGTGACAGGATCACGGTTTAATACTGTCCACATGCGCAATCATGAATTTTATACGATTCTCGATCATAGGAATACAATTCGCGCTATCGCACCTGTACGCTTTAACAAAAGTAATTTACGATCATGCACGTATAGCAAACAATACTTTTTATATATGCTTTCAACTAGATATCGTCGACAGTACGATCGAATCACCTCTCGATACGGAGAATGTGGCTCCACTGTGGTATACTGATCTATCTATTCGGATTTTTCCTGGCAAAATCCTCTAAATCGTTTGATCATGTCGGGAAATATTCTTCATTTCTGGAAAGAAAACTGACATTAAAATTAAAAACGGCAACACGGCTGAAACACAATGTCGGAAAAATTCTTTACGAGTTGCCGGTAAGTTTCACTTTTTAAAAAACAGAATGATATAAGATATCTGAATCTTGCGAGAAAAATCTGAAAAGTGGTCCAGAATTGTGATATTGCATTTTCGAAACAAGTTAACAAATATACAGAGTATCCTTAAATTACGGTATCACCTATCCTGAGCAGGTAGAGTGGACTAAACTGAATTGAAAAGTCTACTATTTTGCAATTTTTGCAATGATTAATGAGATATTAATTACTAAAAATCGTTAAATATTAGTCTTGAATAATTTTTTACTCAAATACTATCAACTTTACCGAAAAACAGCAAGAAACAAAAATCATTAATTTTTTTCTCATAGAACTCTAAGAATTTTTTCAGAATTTTTTATCAACTTTTTAGTAGCATTTTCTTATGTTTACCAACATGAGAAAATATGGCAATAAAAAATTCAGAAAAAATTCTGAAAAAATTCTCAGAACTTTATGAGAAGAAAATAAATAATTTTTATTTCTTATTGTTTTTTTGTAAAGTTGATATTATTTGAGTAAAAAATTATTGAAAACCAATATTTAGCGATTTTTAGTAATTAATATCTCGTTAATTATTGCAAAACTTGCAAAATGATAGAGGACTTTTCGATTCAGTTTAGTTCGCTCTATCTACTCAGAATGGGTGACGTCATAATTTAAAAACACCCTGTATAAGTTCCATCCAATTGTGAAGCTTGATAATCTTATAGTATTTATCTGGATAATTTTCTAATATAATTCAACTTTTACTGTCTTTATTATTTTTTAATAATTACGTTTTAAAGTTATATGGTATATTTCATTCCAGCGCAGGAATAATTAAAATTTGCGCTCCCCACTCGCTTTTGGTTCTTACAGATACAAAGTTACGAGATGTACCACTCCGTAAAGATCATTGAGGACTATTTGAAAAACGGCGGTTCACTGCTCGAGTGCCTCGATGTGCTACCTTCTATAATGTACGCACCTATCGCAGAGCAGATAGACAGTATTCTTGGATCCATGGAGGATCGCTTGCCCAAGTATCTCCTCCCGGCTATATCCTTGATTCGACGATCCCTGTCGGAAGGTGTTCTGGACGCCGACGAGATCTACAAACCCACTTTCGGACCACTGAAAGCTGACCTATTGGAGAAGATTTCTGTGAGAGAGCTGAAAGAAGCAGCCTCGTCTTTAACTTATCGCGCGTCGGTCAGGGCTATCGAAGGACCTTGGCCGAAGATTGTTGGTGAAACGGCAATGTTAATCTACGACAAGGTCATTCCTCCGCGTTCCGAACTGATCGCGTACATATTGTCGAATCTGCGGATACCGGACGCGACGGCGGAGGTAAGAGAATCGATCGTACTTCTTGTTGAACATTTGCAATCGCATGGCAAGAATGAATTAACTGACTTTAGCGTATCTCCCGATCCGTATGTGCTAATCGCCAACGCCATCTCGAGTCTGTCCTTACAAAACGAGATGTTGACAGCCATCAATATATTGTTGCCATTCCTGCGGAAGCACTCAGAGTGTCGAGAATCTGCGGAATTCGC